TTTTCTATTTGAATATATTTTAAAATGTAATTTATTGTGATTTCAAAGCTAAATATTTAGCATAATTACTCCAGTCACACGATCCTTCAGAAATCATTCTGATATTCTGATTTGCTGCTCAAAAAACATTTATTATTATTATTATTATTATTATTGTAATGTTGAAATCAGAGTAGAATTTTTTCAGGTTTCTTTGATGAATAGAAAGTTCAGAAGAACATAATTGATCTGAAATAGAAATCTTTTGAAACATTATAAATGTCTTTATCATCACTTTTGATCAATTTAAAGCATCCTTGCTAAATAAAAGTATTAATTTCTATTAATAGAAAGTATTGAGCTTTTTATTTCAGATACATTTAGATTTTTGGATCTTTCTATTCATCAAAGAATCCTGAAAAAATATACTCAACTGTTTTAAATATTGATAATAACAACAACAACAACAACAATAATAATACATGTTTCTTGAGCAGCAAATCAGCATATTAGAATGATTTCTGAAGATCATGTGACACTGAAGAATAATTGATCTGAAATAGAAATCTTTTGAAACATTATAAATGTCTTTATCATCACTTTTGATCAATTTAAAGCATCCTTGCTAAATAAAAGTATTAATTTCTATTAATAGAAAGTATTGAGCTTTTTATTTCAGATACATTTAGATTTTTGGATCTTTCTATTCATCAAAGAATCCTGAAAAAATATACTCAACTGTTTTAAATATTGATAATAACAACAACAACAACAACAATAATAATACATGTTTCTTGAGCAGCAAATCAGCATATTAGAATGATTTCTGAAGGATCATGTGACACTGAAGACTGGAGTAACGATGCTGAAAATGTAGCTTTGATATTTAAAGAAGAAATAAATGTTTAAAATAATATACGATTTGATGTTCTCTCTAAAACTAAAAAGGGTTAGTAAAACTGTGCTTTTTACATTGAGCATCACATTTATACCGCTCTTGGTTTTATAAGAGCCTATGCAAAATGAATATTATATATGTAAATATTAATTTTTGCAAGCTGAAACAAATAACAAGCTGAAGCAAACGTGTTTCTTGTAAGTAATGAATGAGTTTATTCTTCTAACATGATTATTCTGTGTACAGAGTAAAGTGAGTTGTTGTATTGCTGTGGATGGAGCTCAGAATGAGATGTGTGATAAATGTTTTATATCAGTGTACTCCGGACCAGCACAAAGGAAATAGATGTTGCTGTTGTTAGATCTATTGAAACAGTGCCAGATTTTGAGTAAAGTCACAGAACTCCAGAGGGCTGTAATTCATGACCATTGAAGAGGCCTGTTTAAAAGTTTCTTTTGAAATTCTCTCAGAAACTTTACATTTAATTAAAATGAGAATAAAGGGCATTTCATCCAATTACAAAGACCAGACCAACCGTCACCAATACAGAGCCAGTTATAGTAACACTTTACAGCAGATGGTTCCCCCTCATTTTTTATAAATTATCCAGTTTTGTGAGTTTTAGCTTTACCAGCTTGAATGTAAAAGTAGCATAGTCTGTCAGCATCATTGTCAGATTTTACCAATATATCTGGGGCTGAGCATGTTTGCTTTCTGTCCAGGCAGAAAATCAATAGTGTCTCAACTCATGTAGCTTGATTGTGATCGTAGCTGATGGTTTTGTTGGGAAGGGATGCATGGAGCAGAGCTGGATTCTTCCATGTTCTTTTCAATTTAGAATGATCCCCAATGCCTTTCAGTTTGCTCGTTTTCTACATTTTCACTATTGATTTTTCTTCACCAATAGCAATTAGGTACTTTTTTTATTGCTCAGCACACCTAGCTCTAATCGTGTGCTCTAATCGTAAGAGTGAGTGGCTGAAGAAGCAAAAATGACAGAAATTATTAGCTTTGTTTAACCTCAAAGGAGTCTTTCATGGATGAAAACGGCTTTGGATTTCGGCACCTGGAACAGAAGAGTATTTAATGAGAGCTTAGTCCTCCTTTTGCGAAAAGTGCTCAAATAGCAAGTGCAATATTCATTTTGTCGTAAAAAGGGGATGCTCATTGTGACTGTGAATCTGATCTATTGTCTTCTAGCTCGGTGGGACTAGCCAAAGCAGCTCTGGAAGCCATCAATGGATTCAACCTGTTTGGAAATCAGGTACTGCTGACATACTTTGGCAAATAATGGGATTATTCACACAAAAATCTAAATTCTGTCATCGTTTACTCACCATAATGTTATATGAAACCTCTGTGATTTTCTTTCTTCTGTGGAACCCAACAAGGAGATATTTTGCAGATGGTCTAAACTGATATTTTTCATCAAAACTGACAAACGATAATCAAGAACTATAAAAAATGATAATGAAGTCTACACAATCGTGGAATTTTCTTTTTTGGATGAGCCCCCTCTTTAATCACTGAATAATGAATGTTTTTTGAGGAACTGTGTTTAATGTTCATAAAAGGAAGATTTTAGTAGTTCAAAACAGCTGAAGGACACAATGTACCAACAGCTCTCTTCATCTTTGTAATAAATAAATGTGTCTGCTCCTCCATGGGGATCTAATTCATTGCATAAATGTGTCCGAGGTAAGAGAGAAACAAAACAAAGTGATCAAGATGATTGGTTTAGATTGTGTTTGAGCTATCCGTTTTGTCCGATTTCCAACTTTGATGGATGGTGAATACTTCTATCTGATTCTGGTGTTCCTTTCATTTTGGAGCGGTCATTAGTGGGATTAAATTGTTTTGGTGTTGAGGGAAAATCAAGATGGCAGTGGGCCACATCCATTATATTTGGTAATGGACCGGAAAAGTGATAACATCCTCAAAGCGCATCCATTTTGGAAGAAACATCTCACCCTTCCCCCCCATCACCCAAGTTTACACACAGATGAAGGCCCTTCGGATTGGATTGTTAAGTGCATATAGTTGTTAACCTTGGATGTTTGTTTAACAGAAGGATGGACAAGATTTAAAAATATGGTGTAGTTATTTGTAGTTACTGTTGCGTTTGACCTTTTGCCAAGTTTGCCTCTTCCTCCCTAATGTGGCTCTCTGTGTTCTGTCATTAGCAGGAAACATGGTGCAGTGTATGAAATGACTTTATGGAAGTGGCTGCTGTAGACAGTGTTGTTCTGAATTAATGGAGGACTCAAATGGCTGGCTTTGCCATGTGTCTCTCAGTTGGATGGAAGGCGTGCTGTGTCATCACATGGGTTATGTTATTAATGATGGCTCTCATGCTCCATTTCCTCAACTAAATCTCAGCATGGACGGCAGAGCTGGCGCTTTCATGTGTTTCTTTGGAACAGGAGCTGTCAGAGCACGGTTATAACAGGATAAAAGCAGATAGATCTTTCACGCCATATGTTGAGCTACATATTGCTCAGCTTTCAGATTTTTAATTAAAGGCCCATCATTTTGAAACCATTGTACAGATTCTCATGGATTTTGATTTAGGGCTAGGTAGAATGGTCAACTTGTCAACTAGTCATCCAACTACCGACTCGTTTGTCTATACAGTATTCTGTCTTTCGCATTGTTAAATGTCACACAGCATACTAAAACAGCACCATGAAGTTGGTTTTTAAACTGACCCACTTTAATTTATATTAAAATATTATATAAAATATAAAAAAAGAAGGTATTTTATCCATCCATTGAAAGTCTACTCAACAAATATTCACACACTTCAAGAAGTACAAAAAAACATTGAAAAAGTTATCCACATGAACCGAGTGATGAAAAGTATAATCTAGTTTTTTTATGCAATAAAATGTTAACGATATATATATATATATATATACACATTTGTGCTCATAAGTTTACATACCCCTTGCAGAATGTGCAAAATGTTAATAATTGAAACAAAATAAGAGGGATCATGAAAATTGCATGTTATTTTTTTATGTAGTACTGTCCTGAATAAGCTATTTCACATAACAGATGTTTACATATACTCCACAAGACAAAATAATAACTGAATTTATAAAAATGACCCCATTCAAAAGTTTACATTGTGTGTTATTTCCTTGATGATCCACTACTGTTTTTCTGTTTTGTGATAATTGTTCATGAGTCCCTTGTTTGTCCTGAGCAGTTCAACTGCCTGCTGTTCTTCAGAAAAATCCTTCAGCTCCTGCACATTATTTGGTTTTCCAGCATTTTCTGCATGTTTGAACCCTTTCCAAAAGTGACTGTATGATTTTGAGATCCATATTTTCACACTGAGGACAATTGAGGGACTCATACACAACTATTACAAAAGGTGAAAACATTTACTGATGCTCAAGAAGGCAGCACAATGCATTAAGAGCTGGGGATGTAAACTTTTGAACAGGATGATGATGTGTAAATTCTTTTCATTTTGTTTAACTATCATATTTTTTCATTTAGTACTGAACTTCAGAAGCTACATAAATACTTACATGTTTCCCAGAAGACAAAATAAGTACAATTTACCCTGATCATCCCATTTAAAAAGTTTACACCCCCCGTCTCTTAATGCATCGTGTGGCCTTCTTGAGCATCAGTACATGTTTTCACTTTTTGTAATAGTTGTGTATGAGTCCCTCAATTGCCCTCAGTGTTAAAAGATGGATTTCAAAATCATACAGTCAATGTTGGAAAGAGTTCAAACATGCAGAAGATGCTGGAAATCCAAAGAATGTACAGGAGCTGGAGGATTTTTCTGAAGAACAGCAGGCAGTTGAACTGCTCAGGACAAACAAGGGACTCATGAACAACTATCAAAAAATATAAAAACAGTCGTGGATCATCCAGGAAATGAACTTTTGAACAGGATGATGATGTGTAAATTCTTTTCATTTTGTTTAACTATCATATTTTTTCATTTAGTACTGAACTTCAGAAGCTACATAAATACTTACATGTTTCCCAGAAGACAAAATAAGTACAATTTACCCTGATCATCCAATTAAAAAAGTTACACCCCCGTTGTGGCCTTCTTGAGCATCAGTACATGTTTTCACTTTTTGTAATAGTTGTGTATGAGTCCCTCAATTGCCCTCAGTGTTAAAAGATGGATTTCAAAATCATACAGTCAATGTTGGAAAGAGTTCAAACATGCAGAAGATGCTGGAAATCCAAAGAATGTACAGGAGCTGGAGGATTTTTCTGAAGAACAGCAGGCAGTTGAACTGCTCAGGACAAACAAGGGACTCATGAACAACTATCAAAAAATATAAAAACAGTCGTGAATCATCCAGGAAATTACACACAGTATTAAGATTCAAGAGTATGTAAACTTCTGAATGGGGTCATTTTCAGTCAAATTCAGTTATTATTTTGTCACGTGGAGTATATGTAAACATCTGTTATGTGAAATAGCTTATTCAGGACAGTACTACATAAAAAAATAACATGCAATTTTCATGATCTCTCTTATTTTGTTTCAATTATAAACATTTTGCACATTCTGCAAGGGGTATGTAAACTTATGAGCACAACTGTATATATATATAGACTTACTTTCAGACTTAGATTGACATTGTTTAGTGGCAGATGTTCACGGTTAGCTAAAGTCAGCTCTTATCTCAGTCAGTAGATGATGGCACATTTAGCCGGAGTCTACATATCACTGACACGCCTCCCATTCTCACACTCTTCAAAGTCATTTACATTACAATCCCTCTCAGAATGTAAATTGTTGGTTCAGAAGCTCGTATAAGCATTTCGGTTCTTTGTGAGCTTCTCTAGATGAGCTAAATGTGCCACAAAATGGTGCTTGTTGTATAATCGGGTCTATGCACACAGAAGCGGCGAAATTGAAAAATGCTCTCAGTTTAAATGGAGGTGTGAGGGGAATGCAGAGAAAACAGAAGCAATAGTTTGTTCTGATTGGATGGCCCTTGATGGCTAAGAAGCTGCCAGTCACTGTGGTTACTTGAAAAAATGAACAAAAAAGCTGCTAAAAGTGTGCATTGTTTTTTTTTAACACTAACCATGTGATACACTTTAAATTTGTTAGCTGCTTTTATATAATAAATAAATAAAACATTATGCATTTTTTAAATAAAAAGCATCAAGATAGTTTAGGTTCTATAGATTTTATATATATAACGTTATATATTTACATTATTTTATATATTATGTTCCCATGCGAGTTCTTTTGCCTACTGTGCATATACAAACTGCTGATGCATTATTAGAGGTCATATGCATATATAGGTGTGTGTGTGTGTATAGCCTATATATATATATGTGTGTGTGTGTTGACGTTTTTGTTATTAAACGTGTGTGGCAGTCGCTGTCTAGGCTGGTGTAGAGTATGCCTCCGAGCTGAGTTTAAATTGTGAATCTCATTTGGGGATGGTGAGGTTTGTGGTTTCAAGGTTTTTTCAGGAAATGATGTGGAACAGTTGCTTTGTGACACACCACAAGCCCAAAGTAATCACTGAAATCTGACTTTTTTTTTTTTTTTAGCAAATGCTGCATCAGAGCATGATTGTGTGGTTTTGTGGAAAGGAGGGTGGATTTGATTTTAGGAGACCCTGTGCAGGACTGGCCTTTACATTTCTAATATGGAGCTTTTAAGCAAATCTTATATTATCTAACTGACTTTATGAAAGTGTGTGTCTAGACCCACTATCACCTGTAACAGACACTGTTGAATTCCATCCATCAAGAGGAGGTGTCAAGATGACCATTATAATGTTTGATTTGTGATGTTTGTTTACCTCTGCCCTGCAGGGATGCTCCTGGTCAGTCATTTTTGTGGATCTGGATGCTCATAACAGGAACAGACAGACTCTGTGCTCTCTCCTGCCGAGGGAGTCTCGTTCCCATGTGAGTTCTTTTGCCTACTATGCATATACAAACTGCTAATCCATTATTAAAAGGGTCATATCATGCTTTTTTAAGCATTTTATTTTTTTTCCTGAGGTCCACTTATACAGTAATGTTAGTCTAGGCTTCTTGCATGAAAAACATTCTTAATTGAGCTTTTCATGACCATTGTCCACCTTTGAATTGTACTACTGTGCATGTCAATGTATATGTTCCCCTTGCATATGAAATGAGTAACAATCCTTAGCCATTTCTCTTAGCTATTCCTTTGACTAAGATCTCTCTTTTTATGGGAACTTGATTAGAAATGATAGAAATTCACTTTACAATTTATTGCTTAGTTATTGATCAGACATTGAGGAAGTTGGTTATGATTCTAAAGGGGAATGGATGTGGGGAGCGTCCCAATCTTCCGAAGCCGGGAGGGTTGATGGAGAGGGTGTTTTGAGGGAGAGAGGTATGCTTTAATATGTTTGCTTTTTCTGACATCAGAAATCCAAGAATTCACAACTTAGCATATGAACTAGTTTCAGTATGAAATACATTTTTGAAACTGTTTTCATAGCATATCAAACTCTTTATTTCACGAAAAATGCAATTTCTTGTGATATGACCCCTGTAATCTGTAGAAAAATGTATGACATCCGATGCCCTGGATTTGTCAACTCACAGAGTGTCCTTTCCGTCCTTCACAATGTCCATTAACAATGCATAATTCCCATTCTTCTTTGTGCTGAATTTAATGGAGAACAAAGTAATCTCTGCCAGAACAGGTAAATTATCATGATTAAGCCAAATGAAATTTTATTCTTCCTTTGAAAGTTGAGTGAGGTTGTTTGATTCAGTGGCTTGAAGTATAGGCTTATGTATCGCATGTATTAGAGCCTCTTAATGAGTCTGACTAATGTGTTATTAAAACTGCAGAGGCTAATGTAGAAAAATAGTCCATTCTCAGGAAGAGAGTGGTCACTTAACCCTGGGTTACATCGATATTTCCTGATGGAAAGCAAATTCAATAGAAGAGCAGTGAGTCACTCAATGTCTATTTCTTATGCAAGTGCTCCTGTCATGTAGAACACAGATTCGGCCCTCTTGCCCTGCATCAGCTACCCAGCGTTCGCCGTGGATGATGATGCTCTATATTCCCAGACTCTGGACAAGATAGTCCGCAAGCTGAAGGGCAAGTACGGTTTCAAGCGCTTCTTACGGGACGGCTATAGAACAGCCAATGAGGACAAGAACCGCAGGCACTACAAACCTGCCGAGATGAAGGTGAGTGTGGTTAGCATATTAGCTGAAATGAAAGAAGGTGGGGAAAAAGAAATTCAGTGAAAATGAAAAGAGCCTTTTCCCCATATTTAGGATGAGTTATGACTAGCCTCAGGTTTAGCCCTTTTATTTCAGAAAGAGAGATTTTGCTATAAAGGTTAGCGACAGATCTAACAAATGGCATTCAGGCATTTTTATACGCATCTTTTAATCTGGTGCAGATTTGCTTATTTATCTATCTCTCAGGAGAATGCGAGGGCTGTGGGTAAATCCCATTTGATTGGGTTGAACTGCGAGGATATTAACTCCAGAATTAGCCTGGGAACATGCTGCGTCTGACTCTGAAATCTGAAAGGGGGAGATTTAACCCGCAGCAAATCATCACATCAGCTGCTGCTGATGACCTCCCACAATAAACAAGCCCACAAGTAGAGGGGAATGAGAAGTAAAAGAAGAAAAGGGCTCTTAGTAGGGCCAAATGCTCCATCAATACATCTACCTGATTACTTCATCCAGCCTTAAAGGGATAGCTCATCCAAAAATGAAAATTCTGTCATTAATTACTCACGCTCATGTCGTACCAAACCCGTAAGTCCTTTGTTCATCTTTAGAACACAAATCAAGATATTTTTGATGGAATCAGAGAGCACTCTGACCCTGCATAGACAGCAACGCAACTGGCACATTCAAGGCCCAGAAAGGTAGTAAAGACATTGTAGCGAATCAGCTCATGGGGAAATATGAATAATTAATCATAACTAGTTATAATTAATTATAAATATTTAGATCCGCTGTAGATATTTACTTGACCTCTCAGGGTCAACTGTCTGTCAATTCTAAGAACGTTAATTTCCTGGTTAAAGGAAATAACTTTCTTACTGTACAACTCTACACAGAGCCTGTAGCATAAATCTGCAGTTATGAGCAAACAATGACCAACGTCAAGTGTGATACAAGTAAGACTTTATTAACTACATAAACACTTAAACTGGTCTAACATACAACTGAGGGGTGTTACAGAGTATTTGTTAAATCTAGCTAACAAAATATATATTGTGTGTTTGATTGGTCCAGACGCTACAACAGCTTTAAAATAGGCCATAGGGGCTATCGCACCGGAGGAACCTTTTCATAGTTCCTAGAACTATTGGCAGAAGTACCCCGCTTTTTGGTGTGTTTGCACCGCAGGAACTAGGAATGGTTTTAGTTCTAGGAACTCCCATTTGGAGGAACTAAATTAGGTCCTACTTCAGAGTAGGGTCTAAAACAGTTTTATAGGAACTACCAGTGACCTAAGTGTACACTGATTGGCCAAACGCATCCAAAACACCGGCTACCTGGCATTTTTAAAAAGCCATGTAACATATTAGCATGGAAATCCGCTATAGTAATATAATAATATATAATATTGTCTGCAGTGTTGTGTTCTTTTCTCAGCCTCGATGATATGTATCACTGCAAGTTGTCATAGAAAATTTCGTCTCTGCGTATAACTAAGTTTCTAGAACTACGCTGTACGAAAGACCCTCATGTGACATCAGTGATTCAACGAGAATACTTTTTGTGCGCAAAGAAAACAAAAATAACGATTTTATTTAACAATTCTTCTCTTCCGCGTGAGCATCCGTTACAGTTGAACCACTGATGTCACATAGACTATTTTAATGATGTCCTTACTATGTTTCTGGGCCTGGGGATGGTTGCATTGCTGTCTATGGAGGATAAGAAAGCTCTCGGATTTCATCAAAAATATCTCAATTTGTATTCCGAAGATGAACGAAGGTCTTACGGGTTTGGAACAATATGAGGGTGAGTAAGTAATGACAGAATTTTAATTTTTGGGTGAACTATCCCTTTGACACATTAGTACCAACGTGTTTTAGACATCATGTGTTTTTTTGATACTGTGGCAGTACCAAGCTATTCCTTTATGCACACTATCAATCAATAGTTTGGGGTCAGTATTTTTTTTAAAAATTGAATTAAATTAATTGTATTCAGCAAGGGTATATTAAACATTTACATTAAGTTATTTATGTATTTATTATAATTAATATTAATTTAAGGGATGGTTCAGTTGCATTGCTGTCTATGGAGGATAAGAAAGCTCTCGGATTTCATCAAAAATATCTCAATTTGTATTCCGAAGATGAACGAAGGTCTTACGGGTTTGGAACAATATGAGGGTGAGTAAGTAATGACAGAATTTTAATTTTTGGGTGAACTATCCCTTTGACACATTAGTACCAACGTGTTTTAGACATCATGTGTTTTTTTGATACTGTGGCAGTACCAAGCTATTCCTTTATGCACACTATCAATCAATAGTTTGGGGTCAGTATTTTTTTTAAAAATTGAATTAAATTAATTGTATTCAGCAAGGGTATATTAAACATTTACATTAAGTTATTTATGTATTTATTATAATTAATATTAATTTAATATTATTTATTATAAGTACTGTTCAGTTTAACTTTCTGTTTATAAAATAATCCCTTTGAAATGTATCATGGTTTTCACAAAAATATTAAGCGGCTGTTCAGCAATAAGAAATGCTTCTTATATTTCTTACAACATATTTGAATGATTTCGGAAGGATCATGTGACGCTTAAGACTGGAGTAAAGGCTGCTGAAAATTCAGCTTTAATATGACTGTTTTTACTTATTTTTGATAAAGATAGCCTTGGCAAGAAGAGACTTTTAACAGTTTTTAAGTGTAAGTGCAACTCCCTATTTTAGAACTATTGGGTCAAACCTTACAGTCCTCAAACTTTTGAATGGTGTTGTACTTTTAGGTAGAATAGTGGTAGAAGTAGTCTCAGGTTTCCTGGACTTAGCTGATGATCTCCCAGCCTGGACAGCTGTGAAGTGTTCAAAACCGCTTTAAAACAAACTGGACAGGGCTGGTGCCATGTTACAGACACTGTATTTTTTGTTGGCGCGATATCGTTTTTCTCATAGGCAGAAAGCAGTCCATGTAATATCATTTTATTTAAAAAATTTTTAAGATACATGAAATCATTGTATTATGAATTATGTTCTTGATATCTTTGTGTTATCAGCCTGTCATGCTCAGACAAATACAAGCTCTTCTGTGTGGTTGGATTTTCCATTCTGTTGAACCCATAACTAAGTTACGATGGCAGAGGATTTCAAGCCTGAATGTCTCATAGTGACTGAATGTCCTCTGGTGAATGATATAGTCTCACTAAGTAATTGTGGTAAGTGAAGCCAAAGACCCTTGAGACTCCTTCTGTTTACTGTGAGTAGGCCTCAATGTCTGCTCTTTTCCGCCCAGGAGACATTTATTTAATATGTCTGCCTCATAGAACCCCCCTCCATATCACTCTCCTCTCTGACTACACATCTCTGTCTCTCTCTCTCTCTTTTTCTCTGGGTGGTTATAGAAACTGATATTGAGGAGTAAAAAAAGAACAAACAGTGTATTTTATTTTTAGTCTTTCAGGGTTTAATGTAAGCCTGTTGGTGCAACTGGTGTTAAGAAACCACTTATAGTCTTGAAAAATGGTCCTTTGAATTAAATTATTTTTCGCTGTTAGTTAGAGAGTAGAGTAATTTAGTTATTTCCTTTCAGTTTTAGAAGTTGGCTATACGAGTACCCCTATTTTTGTCCTGAAACAGTTTATGTGCGATATGCCAATGATGCGAGACCAGTCCAATTAACAGCCTTTATTTCATTACATCCTAATCTCTCACTCTTATCTCCTAATGCCACGGCGATTGTCTTCCGAGATTGCTAGCGGAGATAGAGAAGTCTTAATTACATTTGGGAAAGGTTGAAAGACATTTTGTTCCCTGTCAGCCATCAAAGTTCGCTTTAGATTTTGTACCTCTTAAGCAGCTAACAAGATTTCTTTTTTCTGAAGACAGATAATTTGAATTGAGGTTGTCATATAATTGGCAGCGATGAAAAGAGGATCACAGAATTGTATTACGAACGTTTCATGTCATGAATAGGGAGAATATTGTGAATGCATGAGCTTATAAGCTTCGTAAGTTTTAATTACAGCTTGGAAAGCGGGTTGCTAAATGTGGTATGATTGCGTGCAATAAACGTCAGATCAGAATTCACCGTGAGCACAAACAGGCCCACACAAAATTGTTTGTGTTAATCTCTATTTATTTGGTTAGATATTGGTACAAATGTCTCTGATGGATTACTCCCTTAGTAAACTCAATATGCCCACACATGTGCACATGTAGTCCTAATTTCAAATTCCTGTTTGAGAAGAAATGCTCTCTGTTTTTCCAGAGCATCTGTAGGCACTTAAATGTTGACTTATACTTTTAAATGAATGTGATAAAACAAGCGGCACTCGCATAATTTGAATTAATCATTGCTTTTTCACACTCACAAACCATCTCTACATCTGAGTTGATTTTAATTTCAAACCCAAGTGATTCATGGCCCAGCTCTAGGGAAAGAGAGATGGAGCACTATGGCTTTTTAATGGAGTTTCTGCTTGACTGCTATACTTTACTTCAACATAATTGTTTTCTGCTTTCCTGAACTGTCGTAACTGGAAAACAGAGGTTGTCTGGCATTTCCTCTCAATGATTTGAAGGGCTTCCATTTTATGTATGTGCATTTTGCTGCAGGCAACATATTGCTGTAAGTCAGTCAAAGTACAAGTTGTGTGGCACTGAAAATGTACTAACCATTTGAACATGTGGTTTTTTTTTGTTGCTCATTTCATTCTAACAACCGTATTGCAAATCACACAGGTAGACTGAGGGATTCATACATATCTTTTCCTTGTTCAGTAAATAATAACACACTTGAACAGTAATGATGTTGCGGAATCATTACATGATGTTTGTATAATGACTTCTCATGTACACGGTTCCTTATTCTCTGCCCTGTGATGTTTTTCAGCTATCTGACGGGATCGAGTGCGAGTTTCCTCTGTTTTTCATCTATATGATGATTGATGGTAAGATTCATGAATATAATATAATATAAAATAATATATAATTTAATGCACATAATAGCACTGCTTATGTATTTCACTGTAAAAACACTGTATTCTGTTTAATTTACAGTAAAAAATGGCAGCTGTTTTTGCCAGAAATTGCATATTGGTGCCTATATATTTTGCGGCTTATAAATGTATAGTTCATTAAGTAATGTGGTGCTAATTTACCAGTTTACTTGAAGTACCAAAATCTGCTTTTTACCAAAAATGTGCCATTAACCACCAAAATAATATACAAAAATAAGACACAACAAAACTATTTATATAAAATATACAGTGGTGGCCAAAATTATTAGAACACTAGTATTTTCACCAGCTAAATATGGTTTTAAGTCAGTTATTTCTATCTTTTGCTGTAGTGTGTCAGTAGGAAATATCAGTTTACTTTTCCAAACATTCATTTTGCCATTAATTGTATAAATCCAGTGAGATTTTTGTTTGCACAAGGAGTCTGACAACAGCCAGTTCTCCACACAGAGATCTGATAGAAAAGCAAAATAAAAGACAGCAAAAGATAGAAATAACTGACTTAAAACCATTTTTAGCTGGTGAAAATACTAGTGTTCTAATAATTTTGGCCACCACTGTAATTATGGGAATTACCTTTTATTGTTTTTTAACAATACATTTTACTGTAATTCATAGTTTTTACTTGCAAAAACCCAGAATTTGACAGTATTTCACAAAATTATGTAATGTAGTAATAATGCAATGTTAAACCATTTACAATTTTTCACTGTATGTGCTAACAAAAAGTTTTACTGTAGCAATTTGCATTTTTTTTTTCTGTACAAAATGCATACCCTTTTGACAGTGTTGCATATGCTGAGCTTGCAACTCAGGGCCACTTGTTTAAATCTCCCATCTCTGAGCTGTGTTATCTGAAGGATGGGGATATAGTGTTCTTTAATTTCCCTTTTGTTGACCTTTTGTTCAGGTGTGTTTAGGGGAAATCCTGCCCAAGTCAAGGAGTACCAGGAACTGCTAGAAGCTGTCATCTTCCAGTCCTTTGAGGGTAACTTGCGGAAACACACATGCATACACACATCTTTTTGGACAAACTGCCAAAGCTTGTCACGTTGTGATAGACTCTGCTTGCCAGCTAGTGTCCTCCAGCCCCTGCCAATGACTGTTATTTTCCCATTACTCTTTATTAGAGTGGTCCTTTCGTATTCATATCTCCCGGGCTGTGTGATTTTCTCAGACGTGTCTGTCAAGTGCACAACAGAGGAGATGCTCATTATTTAAACATGCTGTCTGACGGTCTTTCAGACCACAACTCTTTAGAAGTATAACAATAAGCAACTTAATAACATTTCGGCTCTTTGCATTTGCTTCCAGTGAGCCTCACCAATACAGATGAGTGCTCGGTTTAGTTGACTAAATTATGGTTGATAGAGAAAAGGTGAATTTGGGGCTAGGCTGGATTCTGCTGACAGCCTGATTGCTGCTTTTACTGCAGGGTTTTTTATCTCTTCGTTTTTACATATTTAATAAATACATATTCATTGGCAGTATCTAAATTACAGCACTGACATCCAACAACATGAATAGCAGTAACGTTCACACAAGCGAGTTGAACTGAGTGTCAGCTGTTTTAAATTCCAAACAAAATTTGACCAATTAGTTCATTTATTTATTCTTTTGCAAACAAAAATAACTCTGAAAGTGCCATACCTGTTACTATACTATACTATACTGTTTCAAACTATTTTTGAAAGAATGCTTACCAAGGCTACACAAATGCAGTAAAATCAGTAATATTGTGAAATATTATTGTAGTTTAAAATAAAAATTTTCCAATTGAATTTATTTTAAAATGCTATTTATTCATGTGATGGCGAAGCTGGATTTTCAGCAGCCATTACTTCTGTTTTCAGTGTCACATGATTCTTCAGAAATCCTTCTAATATGCTGATTTGGTGCTCAAGAAACATTGTGCTGCTTAATAATTGGTAAAACAGCATTTATTTAAATGTAAACATCCTTACTGTAACATTTGATCAATCCAGTTCATCATTGCTGAATAAAAGTTTTCATTTCTGTCAAAAAAAACAAAACAAATCGTACTGACCCCATACTTTTGAACTATGGTGTATATTATTTTAGCACGGCTGGGACAGTGTAGTCACTAGCAGCATCCAACAACACACCACAGAACTGTCTCATGTACATACACAAGACACTCTGGGACTAAATTTGGTCTAATTTGATTTTCCACAGGCCACGCTGTTATTCCCAAGTATTACTATGTGCCGGCAGACTTTGTAGAGGCTGAACAGAAGAATCATGGCAGCCAGAAGCGCTTCCCCAGCAACTCAGGGCGTGATGGGATGCTGTTTCTCTGGGGACAGGCCCTCTATAACATCGCTAAGCTGCTGGGTGAGTTTCAGATCCATCCAGAGCCCAGGGGTCAGGACTATTTCACAGACACACAGTAAAAGAGTTTACATAGATGTTCTTTTATTTATTCATGCAGTGACTTTTTTGCCATTTGCTCACATTTCTCAAAAGGAAAGAGACCCAGAGCCACTGCGGTCTCACTGAAAGCAGTCGACGCAATGGTTTATAAACTAAACTAAATAATGGGATCGTATTAATGGAGGTCAACAAATGTGTTTTATGAATCACAGTGATTGTGTGATAAATTGTTATCATTATGTAGTCACCTTCACTTCCTTTCAAACGGGTAGATTTTCTTTTTTCTTTGGAGTCCTAAAGGTGATATTTTTCAAACTACTCCTTTTTTTTTCTTCTTTTTTTCTTTTTTAAACCGTGAATGTGGGGGCTGGTGCTTTCAAAAAGGACAAGAAAACAAAATAAAAGCAATCCATGTGACTTGTGCTCTATTTTTCCAAGTCTTCTGAAGCCATTTTCATGAGGAACAGATATTATTCAGTCATTATTCATTAATCTTCTCCTCCGCTGTATCTTTTGACTGATCGTGCCACATTAAGTTTGATTTTCAGCTAATACCAAATTCTAAGTCTAATAACTATTCGTATTAAGTATTAACATGATTTTCCCCACAAAATATTGTTTTTCAGCAATGTTCTTACCAAGCTGCACACCCAGAATGATTCATATTGTAGACAATGATTCATGTGTATGCACTGCAGTAAAATCTAGACCAGCAGAGACATTGGTATTCTGTGGAAAGGGCTTTTTCAAATCGAAAGCCTTGTCTGTGTTAACAATTCAGAGATTTTGTTTAAAGCTCATGTGAACCGAACAGTAATTTTGTTCTGTGTTTGCTGTTCAGTGGATGGTTTGATCAGCCCAAAAGACATCGACCCCATCCATCGCTATGTGCCACGACAGGATCAGAGGAACGTCAGCATGCGGTACTCCAATCAGGTCAGCTGCATCACATCTCTCGTGTAGGCAACTACACGAATACTAAAATGTATCCTGTAAACACACATGTGAATGGTCTGTGTGTTTAATCTCTCTCAGAGCCTCATGCATAATTTGTTGCAGGCTTTAGCAGAAGCCCTGATACATCTCTGTATCAATCCCTTACTGACTTGTTTTGCACATCCATTCCTAGCGGATCTGTTATTGCTGAGACAGACCACACTGCTCTTGATAAGAAAAACCTACGGACACCTGCTGTTTCATAGCTAGCACAGAGCTCCCTCATCTGTCCCTATAGACAGTCTGCAGTATCACTTTAATACAGCATCTGCTCTTTACAGTGTTTGAATTGTGTCAGAGCCCTGACAAAAAGTGAAACGGGTTGAAAAATGCACATGGCACTTTAAATAGATAACTTTTTCATCACTGTAGCCTGTCTAGTAAAATCATGAAATTAAAACTTTATTAACACACAACCCTGCTGCTAGAACTGGAAATAATTATTTGAGTATGCACTGCCATTCAAAAGTTTCGTAACTTTTATTCAGCATGGATATAAAATTGAGCAAAAGTGACAGTAAAGAGATTTATAATAATAGATGATGTCTATTTCAAATGAATTCTGTTCCCTTGAACTTTCTATTTATCTTTCTTATTTATATTTCTGTAGAAGACTGGACTAATGGCTGCTGAAAATTCAGCTTTGCATCAAATTATATTTTACAATAGATTAACATTCTATTAAAATATATTAACAGGTTTTTTTTTTTTTTAATTCTTTAAAAAACCTAACCTTTTGAATGGTAGTGTATGAACTATCATTAATGAAGTTTTGTAATTTTACTGTTTAAATGTGAATCTGTGGTCTCAGTCCTGTTCTCTAAATACCTCACTGGTTTTTGTTCCATGTCTGTTAGATTTGAGATTTCATGTGTCTGTAGTTGTTAGGAGCTGCTTGTGCATCTTGTTACAATGGAGTGTCTATCATAGACTTTATACATAATATAGTGCTAGCTACCAAATGTAGTTTTTATACAAGCATGTAAGGATGTGGGGAGCTATCAGAAATGTCACTTCCTGTCAAGAACTCTAGATGTGACACTTCTATTGTAGCGAGCATGATGACTCATGCGTGCAATAAAAGCTAACAAAGAGGTTGAGATGAGTGCTGAGCGAGCTTCATTATTGCATGCATGAGTCATGTTTAAATATTATTTCATATATATATATATATATATATATATATACTGTATATTATTACTGTGTGTGTATATATATATATATATATATATATATATATCCACACAGTATAATAAACAGCAGTTTATTAGTAAAAAGCAGATATATTTACTTAAATATCCATCCTATTTTTTAGCACGGAAATAAGCAATTTTTTTGAATGTGCGAGCTTTCCGATTCACTAGCCACTATAGGTAAACAACTAAGAGAATAGCAAAGTGGATTTGCACAAAACCAAGTCTGAATAGGATTATAATAATAAATTAAAATTCAGTGACAACAAATACCAGTTTGCAACATTAAGCAGCATAATTGATTTAAAATTGGCTGCACACTTATATGGATATATGGATATTTTTTTTCATATTTTAATATATGAAATAGTCTTCATTTAAAAAAAATGTCGGGATAAGATAGTTGGAACTGATTCACATACATGAAGTTTAAAATAAATATTGCACAAATTTATCTTAGTATTTTACGGTGTCAGCCAGTAACATTGAGCATAAAAGAATATGAGATTTCTTTAAAAACACCCACAAACTTTTGACTGGTAAAGTAAATTTCAAAATAAAAATTGCACAGTGTTACAGCCTCAGCCAACAAAAATTAATGAATTATGATATATTAATCTTTGTGATTTATGAGAGAACACTCCCTGTTCTCTGACAATGCAGTCTGCTAATCTTAATCGTATTAATTTATCACTCTGAAATTATGCCTGAAAATGGATTCAAAAATGCTGGGGGGATACTATTATTAAATATTAGGTACTCTGGATTACTTGTTCATCATATTCACTTGTTCATTAAAAGCAGCAGTATTTTGATTGCATTTATTTCATAAGCAACAAAAATGCAAATGCGATACCTGCCTACTACGTGATCTGTGAATTGTCTGGCGTAACAGCTGTTCCTTCATTCCTCCCCTGACTGAAGCTTCCTTCTCTCATCTGCTTTCAAGGCGAGGCACTTGACATCTCAAAGGAACGTACCTTCATACCATGAAACTAGTCTAATGACACGGTCTTCAGGAAACTTGAGGCTAAAAGAAAAGCACATTCAAATCATCTTGTGGCTTAATTTTACTATATTGCCAGCAAAATCATCCCGAATAACCTCAGCCCTAGTCGAGATGTAGCTGTAATTTGACTGATATTGGCTTGGGAGCCCAAGTTTGTCTAATCATTGACAGTGAGGGGCAGGCGGCTGTTTTATTCATGAGTGTTGCACCGCTGCATGGGAAACTGGGAGGAGCCCTGCTGCTTTGAAGGAGGGCACTGCATATTGCACAGTAATGCGTGGCGTGCTTGTCTTTTCACTTTTCCATCAAAGGCTGCGCTGACTAAAGGGCACGTTGCTATGGCTGCTGTTTTATTTTTTTATTTATTGGTTTATTTAATAGGGACCATGCATATTCATGAACATTGTTGTATAAATATACACCATGTAAATATGCCAGAATTAGTAACAATAACTACTTTTCATCTGCAGTCCCTAGGCAGGTAACATAAAACTAACATAAAGACAGCCAACAATAATACAACATTCTGTAACGACAACAAAATAAACAAAAATACATGATGGAGAAGACATTGTTCATCCACCTTCAATTTAAATTCAATTAAATTCAATTTAACAGTGAAAGTGTATGAGTGATAAATGTGTGACAATTAAAAATGAATACATCTCTGGTTTTCTAGAAGCCACTGTTTTAAGTGAGTTTTAAAGGTGTTGAATGTAGGACACTCTCTTATTGGGAGGGGCAAACTATTCCAGAGTTTACCGCCTATTATTTGTTAAGGTGGAGTCATATGTGACTCCTAGATACTTGTCACATCAATGTCACATGTTTGTGTGTGTGGTGTGTTCATGTGTCTGTTTATAGAGGAATTTAGCCATATGAAGTGTCAGTTTATGTTTGTTTATGAATTATGGCCCATCTTTGAGCATCATTGTGCAATATTTATGCGAGTACTCGTGCACTACTGCTGATTGTGCTGATTAAATATTATTGCCAGTTTGTGCTTATGCATAGGTTGTTCTCAGCCTACACGTGTCCTCCTAACATCTCCCATACTTTGTCCTCAGTTTGAAGGCATATCTTCATTTTGAACCATGTCCTTGCTCAGAGATTAGACAGGCCTTTTTTTCCTGATTGATGGATGTACCCTGTTTCAACAAAGCACAGATGGAGCTCAGTTTAAATTTAGAAACGATTGTTCAGCTGAGCAGCCAAGGTGCAGGAAGCAGCCTCATCTTTTTGCCTTTTTAAATACCGAGAACAGCTTTTGAAATGCTTCCCTCGCTCACATATACAAGCTTAGGGAAAGAGGCCTTTTTGCAGTTACTTAGCTTTGCAGACGCTATATTTCTCTGATTCATATTTAATTTGATGCATTAATACAAATGTATTCCAACAGAACATGGCCCCATTGTTTTTGTTGGCTGTGCTCAACGACTGTACCTTTTAATGTGAAAACACAGGATGTTCCTGCGGTACGCCTTCTAGGAAGTGATTGTTCGGGGTTTGAGTAGAGGACTATGGGGATTGGATGCAACTCGTTCCACATGAAATCTCCTGTCTGCATGTCTTTTTCTCTGGGCTGAGTCACTTCATAAACACCCGGAGGGATTTCCAGAACACACCACAAATAAACACACCCCAAGCGGTGAAGAGATATCAAGTGGCCATAAGACATGTGACATGAACACAGATGTCCAAGGGTGTGTAAATCACAAAACAAAACTTTCATCTATCTATCTATCGTTCTATCTATTGCTCTAACGTTCTATCATTCTGTTGTTCTGTCATTCATTCTAGCATTCCATCATTCTATCATTGTATCTATTGATCCATCATCCTGTCTGTCTGTCTGTCTGTCTATTTCTGTCATACTATTCTGTCTATCATTCATTCAAATTTGAATTGTAATTCTGCATCCTATTGGCTACCTCAATTCAAATTCAAGAACTGCATTTAAAAGACATTATCTGTTCAGTTCTGAATGCTGCAAAACCGTGGTGCATACACATAAACACTTACTATGTTGCTTGGAAGTAAGTAGATGCACATTTACACACATGCTCACGTCTCTCCTTTGATGGGGGAACTAATTCACCTTGTACTTGTTAAGGTTGCTCTTCCTGGTGGAAATTGCTCTTTTAAAAATGTAAGCATGCAATGTGTGTGTGTGTAAGCAGTGAGTCCTGAAAAGATTGATGGAAAAAGTCCAATGGCCATCACTACAGATGCATATGCACATACATGCACACACTACTTTGAAGCACCTCAATTGTCCACCTTCATGGTGAGAGATACAAACAAAACACTTCACAGGGATGATGGGTTAAAAATACTAAAGAGAGAGCAGGAAAAGGACCATACATTTGTCAAGGCAACGGACAAATTTCTCAAACGTCTGCAGAGTGGTGACAGATGTGTTGTATGTTTATCACCGACAGCCAGCAGACGTGAAGAATGTGGCAAGATATCACTTATGTGTCACTCACTCCGTTTTTATAACTCCAGACTTCATAGTGTGAGAGTCCAAATCCGGTGTCACTCTGATGCTGTAACGTTTGGAGTGTATTTCACTGCACCTCTAAATATGTAATGTTGCTCAAGCATTGTTTAGTAGCCAACTGGCAAGTACTGTGTGTACAGAATTATGAGACCTTTAAGACCCAAACTAACACCAGACCCCCAAAAGACCCAGACCAAGGCTAGACCTCGAGACCAAAACTGATAAAAGACCCCAA